CAGGCTCCATCTCAGCCGCGGAAAGGACAATTTCAGCTTGATGCAGCGAGAACCAAGTGCTCTCTAAAATGTGTCTGCACAGTGAGTTATTCACAGGAAAATGGCTCCAACGGGGATGGCGGCCAGAGGCTCTCCGTTTTGTACCTAGAATCACAGTCTGGGCCTGTAAACAGTTAAAACCTTGTTTTCCCCTTTAAGAACTGAAGTTTTGGTTGAAATTGGAGATTGAAATGATGGGGTCTGAATTAACTATAAAGTTTTTGGTTTTTTCTCTTTTGAAATGAAAACAGCAGTGAAATTTCAACAAAGTCAAAGTTCAGGAGGCAGAAGAATAAAGTGGCTGAGAGCCCCAACTCTGTGGCGTGGCTCTAGCCGTTCCAAAGTTCAGGTTGAAGACCTTTGCAAACCTCAGTTTCCCTGGCTGTAAGACAGGTGTAGCTGCCCCTGCCTGGTAGGCTGCTGAGGATTAAAGGAAATGAGGCAGGAGCGGCACTGAGCGTATGGACGGTGTTCTGCAAGCACTCGTAATCATGATAGCTAGCGCAGGTGATGGAATTGAACTGGCATTCGTCTGGTGTGACTATTTCAGCACTCCATTCACCTCCAAAGAGGAAGAATTGGGGGTAAAAAATCAAGCTGCGTGTTTCAGTGTTGTAAGTTTTACAAATCGAGGAGTTAGAAGCGGAAAGAGCCAGGAGTGTTGAACCGGTGTGTTCAGCCTTAGAGCCAGGCTCCTTGACATTGCCTGCGCTTGGGAACCTCGTGTTGACATTCGGTCTCTAAGTCTAACAGTGTGTATTATTGGGGCACAATTATAATGTAAGAACACATTCAGAAAATAGCAAACCTATACATGTTTCATGATACAAATTGGAGAGAAATTAGAGGTCTCTGACCAAGTTTCTGCTGAATTCTATTGACCTTGACAGTGTCTAAAGCCCAGCTGCGTACCACTGCTAAGTACTGAGTCAGAGTAATTGTCTATACCTTAGTTACCCTAGGCTAATCAAGGACGCTTAACTATGCTCACCCTGCAGGGCCCCCTGCCCTTGATCCTGAAATGTTTCTATATTATGATAAACAATTCCTCTGTTTCAATAAATATGTTCAACACTAGCCTGCCTGTCAATATATGACTTACTGCATGTAACCAATTATGTAATATTTTGTCACTTGCTTTGTACCTCCCACTTCTAAATGCTAGATAAACTAAACTCTTTGTAAACTCAGGGCTGTTGCCTTTGGGAATGATCCAGCAACAGTCCCTGGTGTAAAGATTAAAGGACGCCTTCTTATCTCCTCAGTGCAAAGAGTCTTCCTTTCAGTTTGACTTGGAAACTTTCCCACAACAGTATGCCTGTGAGATACGACCTCTAGCCTCACAAGCACCCATCTGCCTCCGATACAGAAGTGATGACTTTTCCCGTTACACCTAGCCCCTCTGGACCGAAAGGGTAGCAATCAACTAGTTAGAAAAGTTGGCAAACTGAACAAATTGCTTGGAGCAAAACACCTCCCCTCTGCCTCTGTGAGGAAAAGAAACAGTGACTGGTTCAGAGGGGCATGGAGACAGCTTGGGAGAGATACTGCTCCTTCCACCTGGCCGCTGTCCAGCCCTCAAATAGCTTGTGGGTCCAGTCCAAAAATAAGATCACATGAGAGAGTAAGCATGCAAGCGCTGTCCTTGGGCTTTCTGTGGGCACACTAGTGTCTGCCGCCCTTGCAGGGGCCCAAGAAGGTGGCTCTCCCCAGCATCTCAAAGCCAGGAGGCCACCTGCTACTGGGTGTGCGTAGAGTGTTTCACTCGGTTCTCCTCTGGAGCCCCCTTGTGTTCCATTCACACTAGGAATGGAGGACAAGTGAATCCAACAGCCTCGGCGGGGATAAGGGCATCTCCTCTTCTTCCTGAAGGACACTCCCTTCGGATGATGAATGGGAACTCCCTTCCTCCTGCAGCAGCTGTCCTGCGGCCTCCTAATAGTGCCCTGTGAGTACTGCAGCAGCTGTCTGTCCTGAAAGAAAGCGCCCCAGAGCCGAGGCACAGAGGTGAGTGCACCTGTTTCTGCGAGGGGCTGGTTTGCTACGGACTGCCAGATCATGGCTCGGCTTTCCCTTGAGCTCAGCATGCCTACTTTCCCTTAGCCCCTGCGCCTCCTCTCCTCTTCCCCATCTGGATCTGTGGCAGGTTTGAGGCTACGCGATGGATCCAGTTTGCTCCCAGAACGTGCTAGGTAGATCTGGTTCTGAGTGGGAAGGCAGGAAGTGATTCCCAAAGTGAATTATCTTTGCTGAGAAGACATTTACCAGGAAATCATTAGACAAATCCCATTACAGTAGGGTTAATGCTTCATTTTAAAAAGCACTGCATGAAGTAGGAAATAAAAGGCCAGCTGACTCTTTGTTATTAGGCAAAAGGGAAAAAACAAAACTGAATCTGCAGAGCTTCCCTTCGCCTTCCCTTCCTGACTTCTTAAGAGTCCTACAAATCATGCTTCACAGATCCAAGAATTCCTTATTTTAGTTGAAAACAAGAGAAATAAAATCAAAGGTTTGGTAAGCAGAGTCACGGAAAAGGGGTAAAGTTTCCCTCTTGCTCTTCCCTCTACTGTGTCTGCACACTCAATAGGATGCGTGTCTATGTAGGGACAAGTATGGGGTCACTGTCCCTTGCACATGCGTGTTCCAGCTACAGAGTAATCTTAAGATGTGGACTACAAATATCCATGCTAAGAAAAACCTAATCAAATTCAAAGTCCCAGTTTTTTTAGTGATCATAGACTGAAACTCAGTTTGAAGAGTCTTGAACAAAAAGATTTTTTTTCCCTTTTGGATTATGTAACTGAGAAGCCAGTTTGGGTATGGTAGTCCAGGTGTAAGAGAGTGGCATTGGCGGCTGTCCTTGTCTGTCTCTTGGCTTTGCATTCCCTGTGTCATCCTGCTTCCAGGAAGACTTGCTCTTGTGGTGGTGATACGGAGACGGCTGCAACAGCTCAGGTTGACACAGTCACCTTGCAAATGCAGGTGCTTCTTGCGCCCGCCCGGGGGCTCTAGCTAGTATAGGGTGCAGTTGCCTGGGACCAAGGTGGGGACTGTGCCCATTCCTGCGTTGGGGTACAATGGTCCCTATTCAAACCCACACTGCCCGAGAGCAGCAAAGACTGGCTCCCCAGTGCTACTTAGCATGCGGGTCCAGGAGAAGGTGGGCCTAGGCACAGGACAGCCAAGGGTAGTGGCTGCCACTCTCCTGCTCCTTTCTGCAATGGTTTAGATGAAAAGTTAAGCCTCCTCCAACATAGCACCCCCTCTTCTCCCTCTTACAGTCCACCAAAAGGCATGAGTGACAGGGAATTTCATAGGAAGGGTCATTGTTAACCGACGGGTGACTAAAAGGCCCGTGGTTTGTCATTCCTAGAGACCCCCAACAGTGGGAAAGTCACTGACACAATAAGGCTTGACTCTGGCTCTGTCTCTAGCGACCTACCAGGCCCTGACCTGCCTGGACCCCCAGTTTGCCTGTGCTCACTGGGTCCTCCCTTGCCCTCACCCGCTTCCTCTCCGGACCCCTATGGGAAGCATCCGCCTCAGTGCTGCCTCCCCTGGTACCCCGTCTGGCTCTTCCAAGCCTTTGTGCCCTCTTCCTTCCCCAAACCTGCACAGCAGTGACTATCAGGACTGTTTTTCCTTGTTTAAATATTCTTTAGGGACTTCACGATTCTCAGTTTCTCTCTCAACTTGAATTTGCCACATGGGGTGGTAAGAATTAAGTTTTGTGGTGCACTCTCTTTGTGGTATTCAATAGAAGATGCCCAGTTTGAGTCCAATTAAGAGACCAGCAGAAAATAAGCCTTCCCAAACAAGAGGAAGAGCTAGATTTCTTGAGGCCCTTAGTTGCTTCTTTAAAAGCAACATAATAAATAAGCTGCGTATGGTAGCACATGCCTGTAACCCTGACTCCTTGGGAGTCTGAAGCAGAAGGATGACAAATTCAAAGCTGATGTGGGCAACTTAGATGGTCTCAAAGTAAAATTAAAAGGGCTAGAGAAGTAGCTTAGCTCTCTCTAGGTTCAACCCCCAGCACCACAAGAAGCAGTATAATAACCAAAGCAAACACTGACTGAGCTCAGAATGTACATGGGACCCTTACAGGTATCATCACACATCATTCTCACAGTGAACCTACCAGGAAAGTATTGTGAATATTCCATTTAACAGGTGGGGAAACTGAGTCTAAAATAATGAATTCACAGGTTCTAGGTCATGGGAACATGTTGGGGTCAGAACCCAGATACACCTGCCATCTCATTTGCTAGCATGATTTCCTACCGCTGATTTTAAATAGCTGCTTCTGCTGGGTAGGGCTCCACAAGTCAGGAGTTATTTCCCTTCCTGGAGCCATCAAGAACACGGAAGAGTCAGGGATTTCAGAAAAGTAGCTCTGCAGAGAACAAGATGCTTTCGTAATTAAAAGGGCCTCGGGTGATATCTGGGGAGCTGTGTGGCCTTTAGAATTTAAACCTGTTCACCTGGCCACCAGTCATTAGACGTGACCCTGCCGTCTTTCCTGCCCTGACCAGGATGACCAGGGTCTCAGACAGTGAGTGGCTGACAGGATTTGGTTGGCAACCAAATTCTCCATCCAGAAGAAACTAAAATCTTTTTGTTTTGTTTTGTTTTGTTTTTGGTACTGAGGATCAGACTCATGACCTTGTTGTGCTTGCTAGGCCGGTGCTTTTGCCGCTGAGCTAACTCCCCAGGCCAGAGGAAACTAAAATCTTTAGAAAATGGTTAGGTTTCTTATACCATCTGTGCCTGCAAGTCACAGGCCACAGGCCTCTTGGCTGGTCTGCAAGCTGGTGAAACTCTTTGTATCTTGTTTATTTGATATACACAAATTTATTCATATGCGTTAAATCTTCAAAAAAGCACATCCCATTTGACTCCTGTCATTTCATTTATCTTCCCAATATCCTGTGAGAGGTTCAAAGAGCTAGTTTTCTCACCTTCCTTCTCTTGATGACACAAATGAGGCACAGTGAGACTGAGTCACGCCCTGAGCTGACAAGAAGGTCCCAGATGGGAGACAGCATACACGGAGATCTCCAGGGTCCAAGCCTGCTCACTTCTCCAAGAGCTTATGAATGGGTCTGTGTGGGGGAGCTGTAGAATTCTTTGGCCAAAGCCGGAAGAGAAAAACTACCCCTAGACCTAGGAGAAATGAAAGCATGTCCACACAAACACTTGTACATGAGCATTCACAGCAGGATTATTTATAACAGCTAAACAGAGGGAATGATTCAAACACTCATCAGCTGATGAATGGATCAATAAAATGTAATCCATACAATGAACTATTATTCAGCATTAAAAAGGAAAGAAATTTTGAAACATGCTACAACACAGATGAACCTTGAAGATCATATTCAAATAAGAAAACCCCCATATTGTGTGATTCTATTTGCATGAAATGGTCTGAACAAGGAATTCTATGGAGACCAGAAAGTGCATTGGTGGTTACCTGGATCTGGCAGGAACCTAGAATGGGAAACAGCGGCTATATTTTATCAAGATAAAAATTGGTTTAAAACCCAAACCACTACTAGTGGAACCATTAATCTAGAAGCAAGGCTTTGCGGAAGACTGTGGTCTCTGTCTGCCTGATAAGTCTGCATCTTTTTCCCAGAGAGCCTGGCTGTTGGACACTGCCATAATTCCAGGGGAAAGACTGTTGATGGAAAAGGGCCCCACAGATTTCTCCCCTGGGTCTAAACCAGGGAGAGTGCTCCCCTCTTTTTTACATAGAACATTCAATAAATCACTCAGTATTCTGCTTTTACTTCTGGGTTACAAATTCTGCTTCAAAAAGTAATCCCCATTCTAAGATGATAAATCTCATTCAGTAATGTTTTGCTATAATGCTTTCCTTTAGTATTTTCCTCTAAGGTTTGACATTTTACATTTTAACTTCTAATTCATCAGGAATTTAAACAATAAATGGGCATGCAGACTGGCTGTTTATTTTGACAAATAGCAAGCTAATTATTAACCAGGAGTTATGGCATTTTGTGACCTCCAAAAAGAAACGTAAAAAAGCATGTGAGCTTGCACATGAGTGCGTGCGTGCACATATTTATTTTTTGGGATAATAGGGTTATACATCTCTAGTTTATAACCTCCTGGGGCCCAGGCTGTATGCATTCTCATGCATGGAGGCCAAATGCTGAACTAATGGCCGAGGCGCTGAGCTACACCAGGCGAGTGACTGCTCCTGGGGAAGTCACGGGTCCCATACACGTGAGAGCCGCACCACAGTTTGGGGGTGAGTATCTGCTGAGGGAGAGGACAGGGTGGCTGTCACAGGCTCCCACTTCAGTCTATGAAGCTTAGGAGTGTTAATCTGCTGATAAATCCATAGAGCCGATAAACCATTCTAACTGACAAGATTTAAGACCTTCCCATTACAAAGACTTTGAGGAGGCTTTGCGGCCAAACTTGAGAATAACTGAGAAACTGAAAAATCAAGGTGGCAGATCCTCACGGCCTCACACATCACGTAATGAATATGCATGCAACCCAGGCTCACGGACCACACAGCGAGTCTCAAAGTGCTGGCCCTGGGCCAGCTGCACCCACCAGAAATGAGTTGGAAATGCAAATTCTAATCTCGTGGCCCACAAGACCTGCTGAATCAGAAATCCAGCAATGTGTAGTTTAACAAACACCTAAGGTGACTCCAGGCACATTCACGTTTGATGAAGAGATAAAAACCCCTCTCCTCATGGAGTTTCACTTCAGTGTGTGTGGCGGGAGAGATAGAAAGCAAGTAAGTTAATGCTTTGTGAATGTGACAATTTTCAGACAGTGGTAAATTCTGTGAAGAAAAGGAGAGCAGGGACGGGAAGGACAATAAGGAGGGCTGACTTAAAACAGCTGGTCTGGGAGAAGATGGTCTACGCTGAGACCAGACAGACAACAAAGAGAAGCCACGCAAGCCATCAAGGAGCAGAAAGTGAATGCGTACATTTTGTGAAGAGAGGACAACAAATGCAAAAGCCCTGAGGTAGGACCACGCTTGGCATACAAAAAGCGGCATGCCTGGGGCACAGTGGGCAGGGAAGTGCAAATAGTGAGTGAGCTTGGGGAGAAGCAGGTGGTGGAGGCATGCTTAACATCTGCTCTTCATTCAAGAGGAAGGTACTGGACAGTTTTGAATAAATACAGATACAATCTGATTTGCCTTTTAGCAAGATCTTTCTGGAATGAACTATAGAGGGACCAGTTAGGAATATATTACAGAGATCTAAGGCTGGAGTGGACTAGAGCAATCTATTACTAAGTGAAAAACAAATAATCATGTGCCCAGTAAACTGTTTTTAAATATACATTCATCTAGCAATATAAAGACATTTTCCCCCCATAAGATCTCAGCCCCTTACACATGTGTATGTGAACACACACACACACACACACACACACACTGGCTGTTGGTGGTTATCTTTGGGAAGAAAAGAGATAAGGATCATTTTACATCTTTTTGTGCCCTGTACATTTTAATCATGTGCATGAGGTGTTCTTATTTAAAATATTCAAAAATACAATTTAAAAACTAGAATCAAGGCACATAGAATGGGCAACGGCTGATCAGTATCAGAGGGGAAGCAGACAACCTCTCATGAAAGGGAACATTTTCAAGCACTCTGCCCTGGAGTGCTGGAGAGCTGGCTGGCAATTGGGTTGGGCTGAGGCGCCTCCTTTCCTGGAAGTTGTTGGACCTGGTTTCTGTTGGGCAGCTCTGCTGGTGTGTACTGCCTTTGGGTCTCCTTGGGCAACAAATGCAATTTCCTGGGACTGTTAGCTGCATTTCCCAGGACTCTCCGTCTCCTGGCACCTGGCCCACAGCGGGGCCAGAGGCTTTGGTGTAACTGCCTGATTGGCCGTAACAGGAGAGTCTGGGGTAGGGAAGAAAGTGGCCTGCAGCATCTGATTTTTCCTGTCAGCTGATTAGGATTTGCAGTGCCTGAGCAAGGTCAAATGAGATTAGGAAGAAAATGCAGCGCGTCTGGTATGCGTTTCATATAACTGCGTCACTCATGTAAACAGGACAAATGAGGGGGAAATTTTAAAGCAAATACCAAATGTCAGTCTCAAGATTCTAGGACAAAATTCCAGAGCTTATGTTATTCCAGGAGTGGGAGAAATGTATTTATGGGTGGGTGGCATAGTGCATCCTCTGAATCTATCACGCTCTGCTGATGCTTTCATGCTTAAGTGAAAAAGTGAACTTTATGTCTGATGTTTGAAAGCACTGAGCACAGAATAAATAAAACCACAGAAGAGCCACATTCTACCTTTATGATCCTTCTAGCTTTCTTATAGGAGATGTGGAGTTACTTTCTGTAATAACAAGTGCCTACGTGTTCTCACGGAGCCTGCCTCTCCGGACGTGGAAGGGAAAGCTGACAGCTAGCACCAGCCCCAACATTTTAGATGTGGATGACTTGGGGCAGGCCCACAAATCTGTAGGTAAACTGACTAGGATTTTTCTTGGTCTTCAAAATCTATAATTTTTTTCTTTCTCAGACCAGCTCTCTTCAGGGAGGTAAGGCTCTCGTATAAGGTTTTATCATGGAGGAATTGGCTTTTGAAGTGGTGTAAGAGCTTTGGGGAAGGTATGATTTCTGTAACATACTCTGTATAGGATAAGTAGACTGTGGATGCTTAATAAGTGGTTTCAACGGCTATTATTTCCACGGACTATTTCCTGGCATAAAACTAAGGGCTATTACAAGGCCAGACATTTCCAGTAGGTAATCTCAGGATCCCTTCCCACTCTAAATAACAGTAGGGCCGAAAAGTATCATATCATCATGTCTTAGGTCTTAAAAAAAAATCCGTGTATATTTAAAAGATAAATCTAGACATTTGACATGGAAGTTAAAACAAACAGAGACTGTAGGATGTTAAAATAGAATTTTTTAAAAATTTCAACATGCAGGGAATTACGTGACTAAATATTGTAAGGAACTGAGAATTAATTATTTTTCAGTATTTAGGTTGAACACTCAATATATAGCAGAGAAATGAGTATAAGTCAATAGCTAAGGAGTACATTTATTAAAAGTTCTGTGTGTGTGTGTGTGTGTGTTTAAAGAATCATTCACGACTGGATACAGTGGAGAAATGAGATAATGATGGTCTTCGTATCCCTAATGTTTAAGGTGCCTTCACACACTTGGACACATTTGATCATCACACCTCACGCTGATTCTGTGAGTCTGCAGAGCTGACCCTAGTGGGAAAGTCTTAGTGATCTCCTTCAGGAAAGAGTGAATCTGGGCCCTATAGAGCTGAGCTGCCCAGGAGTGGCCACCGGCACTGTGTGTTCAGGTCCAAAGGTGTCACAGCCTGCAGTGGGAAGATCCATAGTCAGAGCCATGAGGGTTCCACACTTCTGGTTCCCAGACACAGGAGATGAGCCCCCAGGACTTCTCCGGGCTCCAGGGTCAGGGATGGTCGGCTGGGTGCTTCGTACAGAGAAAAGTATTCACCTCTGCCTTCCTCGTACACAAGCAACAGAAAGGAGAGAGGAAGAGCAGAAAGAAGCGTAGCTCATCATGGTCGCTTTGTCCTCTGTATCTGAATCATCAGGTGGGCAGGCTCGTGTGTGCACGTGAATGTGAACACACTCGCCACTCACTCATGCCTTCCAGGCTCGAATGGCTACGGGAGGAGGCGGGAGTCTTTGCTGAGCATAGGAAACTGCTCATCATGTTTCCACTTAGGCTCTTCAGACACCCCTGTTCTTATCCTCTCAATCTACCTTTGTTCCCCACCTTTTAGCCAGAGTTATTTGTTTAGCTTCCCTCCTTCTCCAACCCTCTCTCTCTCCCTGCCTCCCTCCCTCTCTGCCTCCCCATCTTGGTAGTGGTGTGAAGACAACACCCCAGCCCCATAGAAGAAATAGCCACCCCGAAATAGGGATCACCTGAGGACCCATGTAGCCCAGAGGGGACAGGTCTGTGCAGTTTGAGGAATGACAAGTGCTCTCTGCAGCCCTTGCCGGGCCTAACTGGACGGCCACTACCCTGACTGGCTTTGTAAAATGCCCTTTGTAGGGCTTGGCTCTAGGAATGGTGCAGACAGACAGACAGTTATGCTGCCACACAGAGACACCTACAGGCATCTGGCAGGGCTACCGGATGACAGATCAGAAAAGGGCTCCCTTTCATCCAGCAGCCTTCTGATTCCAGAGGAGTGTCTCTGAGCCACGACCTGCTGTTTCCCTGGCGACTGAGGCCTCAAAATAAACAGGATTCTTCTCAGACGGGCTAGTAGTCCACTGGTTCAGGCATCTGCCCCAAGACAAACTATGGTAAAATAACACCCAGTGTCTTGATTCTCACTGTCTGCCACCTCTGCCTTTCTCTCTCTGCTGGCTCCCTGTATGTCCTGCTGTGAGGGGCAGTGTGGGAAGGCAGGTCCCCTCTGCTATGAACAAGGGGCAGAGGCAGCCCCAGAGGTCCACACTGCCGGCCTCCCCGCCTGCTTCCCACACAGCCCTCCGGGACTGTGGCACGGTGTCTGGAGAAGAGCCAGCAACCTGACGTGCATGCGGCGGCCCGTCCCTCTCCCCAGCAGAGCCGCAGTAACCCGGAGGCTCAGAGAGCCGGCTCAGGGCTGCTGGGGAAGCAGCCACTGCAAGGTGACGGTGACCGACAGAGCACAGGCACCAAGGGGGACAGCTTCTCAGGTAAGAACTAGGGATGTGTTCTGCTGAGAGAACTGGTTATGTTGGGAGCTGAGGGTGTGTGTCCGGGTGAAAGTACAGGCTACTGAGAGGAAAGTAAAAAAAAAAGGCATTAAGGCCCGAAGAGAAGTGTGTTAAGCAGATAGCAGAGACTCCCCAGGAGCTCACCTCTGGTTGGCAGATCCCTGACCCCTGGTGGGGGAAGAGCTTGCTAATGGCACAGACTTGCAAAAATAGCACTTCGGAGTTTAGACACTGCAAAAGCAAGCATGCGCTCTGCTCCATTATCTTCCTGCCCCCAGCACTTGCCCCAGGGACAGGCGGGAGCTAGAATGTTCCGGCTTACAACAGGGCTGGATACAGCGCTGCGGTCAGCGGGGCGGAAGCCGCAAGCGTGGCCGCAGTGAGTCTGGCTGACATTATCTTGCTGTGTCACGCTCACCCTCCCAGGGAAGGCTGGAAATTCAGTGCCTTCAGAGGTCAGTTCACCTGGTGGGTGCTTTAGATCTTACTTAGGAAGCTTTTGCTATAATGTCAGGCAGAATAATAGGATTGTCTGAGGGTGTGAGCTCTGGGTTTTGATAGGGTGGTATTCGGATGTCCCAACTCTGGGCCAGCTGGTTACTTCTCCCCTTTTGTCTGATCATCTCTGACTATCTCACCCTCACCTTGGACCCCTTCCACACCACCAAGAAAGAAGGAGCCAGAATGCTAACCACTGGGCTTGCATACTCTCCACGCCCTCCCTGCTGGTGTGTACCAAAGGTATGCAGGGCTCCTATGCTGAAGTACTTGGGAAACTCAGGCCTCCAGATGCTGGGATGGGAATCTCAGGCATCTAATCGAGTACTTTCTCGAGCCACACCTCCCATCTCAGTCCACGAGCTCACCTCTCCGCAGAATTCCAGCACTTTGTACTTGCTCTGACTGCTTTAAGGGCGCCTCCCCTGCCCCTCCTCCCTCTGCTTTGGTGATCAGTGCTTTCCCTTTCATTCTCTACAGGGATGCGATTGTTCATGTTATGGTTTAGCTCCCTAAGCCCCACTGAGAGGAAGAGAACACTGGGCAGAGGGTGAGTTGGGCTGCCTTCCTGGGGCTTTGCATAAGGATGAGCCGGCCTAGCTAACCAAGAGATAAAAGAAAAGAGTCTTGCTTTGGCAAGTGGTGTCCAGCAAGGAGCTGGCCAGCTGTTTAGCAGGGCTGTTTGTGTGAATAAGTGTGGATTTTGGTGGAGACTCTGATTCACAGCCACAATTCCCTATTCCTCTGTTTTCTTTGTGTCGGTCACTACGGACTTCCGAGGAAAGTCCCCTTTTGAAACTATATCCCTGAGGGTGGGAATGCCAGTCTGCTGCTGAGGGAGCTGGCTGACGATGCAGGGAGACTTTATCCTTGCTGTTTTTAGTAGGAATGCATAGGCTTGCAAATGAAGTTTTAACCCAAGGCAAAGTTAATATATAAAAAGTTCAGGAAGGAGTGGATGAACTTCCTGTACACTGTCCCCCAAAACTGTTTATGTCTTCCCTGGGCTCAAAGAGGGGTTAGGAAACAGCATCTGGGAAAGTGCTTGATTTACAGTTGAGTAGCGCCAACCATGAAGGTACGACTTTCTGGAGAGACGGGGAACAGATGACACTAGCAAAGGACGACCCGTCCCTGCAGGGATAGCATGGTAAATCTCTGGATGGACATGCATTTTTTAGACCCTGAATAAACCATTGTGCAGAGTGCAAGGTACACCCACTTCTACCTCATTAAATACACAGTGCTTAGCTGAGGCAAAACCCTTGACTTATTTAGGTTGCTATAGAAATAATCTCTAGCCATTTGTGCCACAGACATACCATGCTTTTAATAAAATAATATCTATCTGTGGTATATAAATTGTGGGTAAATGAGTATTTTTTCTTAGGAAAGGATTCATCAACAAGCAATTGTTCATCAAGTACCCACACAGTGACCCATTTCACCATGTGACTGGGTCCAGCCCCATCAACCACAGAGAAGGGAGGGGACCTATAAGGGGAGCTGGTTACAGAAAGGAGCCAGGCTGACAAACTGTCCAGTTTAGCTGGAAGGAGCGCAGGGTATAGGACTGGGTCGGTGGCCTGAAGGGACTGAAAGTGGGGCAGGACTAGCAATTATTTTACCTCCTGTATCACACTGTATAAGAGAAATAGTGTAACATGGAGTGTAAGTATATGGATTCTGTAGCTTCAAAGTCTGACTGCCACTTATTAGTCCTGTGATCGGCTTCAGTGTGCTTATCTGTAAAGTAGGTAATAAAGTATACACTTTGACGTAGAAAAGATCAAAGGAGTAACTGCCTTAATATAGTGCCTGGCTTACAGCGAGTGCCATGTGAATAGCTGGTCTCATCCTATTAAACTGTGAGCTCTGCAGAGGCTGCTCACTGTCTAAAGTGCTATTCTATGAGTGACAATTAGTGCCACCTATTGGCAGCATTGAGGCACTTTTTTTGGCATGGAACTTTGCATCTATGAGCATTTGGAAAGCGAAGAGCTTCCATCCTGGTCACCCATTTTGTGAGCACTTCCTTTGAGTACTGAGCCAGGATTTTAGTTTGTCACAGTACTGTCACAGCACTGTTACAGATTCAGGACTTGAGGCTCAGTGGGTGAACCCTTTGCCTGTGGCTTCACGGGTACCAAGTGGCAGAGCCACACATCACACCCAGGCTGTCCTGTGAGTCTGCGTTCCCAACTGGGGGTCTATATTTGTTTTGGGGACAATGAGAGGTGTCATAAGAGGCAGGTAAAACTTAGCAACAGAAATTCAGCCACAGATGCTATGAGAAGACCCTAGGAAATAGGCTGGAATTGGGAGATTCTGCTAAGAGATGGCAGGACCTAGTTGGGACCTTGGCATAGAGCACAGAGAGACTCTAGACAAGAATACAAGCACCGAGGCACAAGGTGTGCTCTGGCTTTCCTGAATCACAGACGGTGCCCCAAGACAGAGGAAAGGGAGCCTGAGACACAGACCGCAGCACACCACGCATGCTGGCCAGGACGCCCTGCACCTCTCTACCCTAAGGTCAGAGCCCACCTTGAGCCAAGCCTGAGGTTAATGCTGAGTAACCCTCACTATGGGAAGCGGAAGGGTAGATAACTCAGAACTCGATGTCTTGGCACAGTAAGGCTTCTAGTGCTGTGAAAGAACCGGCCCCTCTAAAGAGTCCATTTAAAACATAACAGGTAGACATGGGGCTCGCCCTGTCCGACTCTGTCCAAGGAAAGGGTGTTACTGATAGGTGTCGGGGTGTGCTCCCATGCACCAGCCCTGTGTGGGTATGAGGATGACTCGTGCACACGCCTCATCAGTGTTCCTCCAGAACCTGTGCCCTGCTCCAGGGCTTTTCACACTTCAGTGTGCGTAAGACTCACAGGGGAGTGCTCCATGCAGCGACTCACTGAGTTTGTGAGGGACCTTAGGTTCCGCTTTTCCTGGTGGAGCCGTGTGGTTCTGATGCCTGGGCTCCATAAGCCACCACTGAAGCAGCTCAGTTCTGGCTGTCACCGAATCCCTTCCCTTTATTACTACTAAGGGGCGCATAGCATTGTGAGGCCTAGAGCAGTGGCATCGCCTCTTCCTGAATGACATCGACTCCACACTTCGCTTTTTGTGTGGTAGGCATAGTGCTGAGCCCTGCGCTCCTGTTATCACTCGTCAACTCTTGGCTCTGGTCCCGTACATCAAATCCTATTTCTACCCAGTTTTGTAAGTGAGAGAAAAGGCCCTATTGTCAGTAGGTGCCTTGAAACTCAGGACTAGCACATAACCTGCGTCCAATACCTAACCACTAGGCCCGTGGTAGTCAACCTATAGCATGCATGTTAGTTTTCTTTTAAGAAAAAAGATGCTAATGTATGAGTTCTTTTTTTCTAAACTAAAACCTCAATATTCAGGTTTACTTATAGTGTCAGTACTTTGCAATAAATAAGTGGGTTTGGGGTTGCAGTTTGGATACTGGAGTCTAAATGGTTTGCCATCACTACACAAGGCTATTCTGAGGGTGGTTTTAGTCACTGTCTGTTCAGCCATTCTTTCTTACCTGTAGATGGGTGTCTGTCACATTACCATCTTGTCTGCCTCACTCCCCGACTCCCTAAAAAAAAGAAACGAAAAATCTCTGGAAGACGATCTGTCCTTGTGCGTCCCCATTTACTCTCTCCTGAGGAATCAGAGTGCTAGGGAAACGGGCATATGGGGGTAGGTGTCACAGGTTGTGCCCATACACTGACATTAACCCCTAACCCCAAGGATACTTATTCGGAGATAAGGTCCCTAACCCACAATGTCTGACATCTTTATAAAACTGGGAAATTTGTTTTTGTTTTCTTTTTTGGTACCAGGGATTGAACTCACGATCTCATGCTTACCAAGCAGGCACTTATGCTGCTGAGCTAAACCCCCAGCCCCTAAAACTGGGAAATATGGACACAGAGATGTGTATAGAGGAAAGATGATGTGAGAGACATAGGACTAAGGCAGCCGTCTCACCTCAAGCAGAGAAGCCTGAAACAGATCCTTCCTCACCGCCCTAGGAAGCAACCCAGTCTGCCCCTACCTTGACCTTTAACTTCCAGCACTCAGAACTTAGATGACAAATTCCTGTTGTTTCCATCACTTGGTCATGGAACTTGCTACAGAGCCTTCAGAAAAAGCAGAAGGTAAGAAACCAGATTCTAGGTTCCCTGACTAGGCCATGATTTTGGGGTGATCTAGTTACAATTCAGCATAGGATGCTAAGTTGCGACATCTCAAAAAACAGAAAAAAAAAAACTCTTGAGTACCTTTCTGGCAACTTAAATGATATCTTGGGCTGTGGGTGTAGTTCAGTGGTAGAGTGTTTGCCTGACATACAAAAGGCCCTGAGTTTGAGCCCTATTACAATCAAATACACATGCGCATGCGCGCGCGCACACACACACACACACACACAATTTTCTTAGGAGCCACAAGTGGGCGTAAGAACCAGGAGAGATGAAAGACTGAACAGGAAGAGTGAAGAGGGAGGAGAAAAGGGGACGTAAAGAAAACAGATGGAAGGAGGCAGGAAGAGAAAGAGAGGGAGGGAGGCCTGGGACGGGGCTTACATGACCACTTCAGGGTCATTCGGCCCCACCATGGTCACGGGGCATCTCCTGCTTTCCAGGGAGACTGTAAACACAGCTGCAGCACCTGGGGCCAGCACCTCTGCTTCGTGAGTTAGATGGGCACATGGACATCAGTCCAGAGGTCACTTTTCTAGGTGGTCTGCAAAGCAGATGGTAGAGGCCCCTGAGTCGGTCAGGGTGGGACCAGATCTTCCAAGAGGTGATGCTTGGGTTGAGATTGGGTGTGGGAAGAGCACGTGCAAGGTTGCATGGCTTGAGGCAGCGTAGCAAGCCAGGTCACTGGAAGGCCAGTATGACTGGACAGCAGGGGCAGCGGAAATATGAGCCCATAGGGCAGGCAGGGTCAGATAGGTGGAGGATTTATTCCTGAAGTTGTAAGCTATCGAACGGCAGGGGAGGCCATGATCCTCTCAAGAGTAAATGTTCAACCAAAGGACACTTGGAGATGCCCCCAGTGGGGGTCAGCCTCAGGTCAGTTCTGAAGCAGGCATCAGGCTTCTTGGCTTCACAACCCGGGGCTGGCTATGTGGGCACGAAGAACAGAGTTCTAGGCTACTTCCCAAGTAGTCTTCCAGCCACGGTACACCCTCAGCAGCGTATTTCTAGGTGTTTATAGGGGCCCCGTCACAAGGGCCTAAACACGGTCCCTTCTTCCCCATGAGTGAGGCTATCTAGTGAGAATGCAGGACTAGGTCACATTCAGGAGGCCAAGAGAGCGGCAGGAAGCCCAAGAGAACACCAGTGACCTCAAGGGAAGGAGGGGGCAGAACGGCAAGGGGCAGAGGTGCTGAAAGGAGAAAGCACAGATCCAGCTGGCAGACCTTGCCTCGTTTAGGATTTCCTACAAGAAGCAGTGAAATGCCTGGGGGCCGGGGGCGGGAGGGGGAATTCCAGCTCGGTGTTGGCAGCCCTGCCAGCTGCCTGCATGCCTCGGCTACCTGACGCCTCTTTCTCCTCATTGAGAAACATCAGCACGGTGCCAACCATTGTGGGCACAATCCATATTCTGTAGCAGCAACAAAAATCCTGCTACAGAAAAACACATGCCAGGTCTTTGCCCCGGTGCCTTGCTAGCCACAGAAAAAACTCCTTTCCAAAAACAATAAAACAATTCCTTTCCTTTGGATTGCAGCAGAATGACTGGATTTGGCTAAGCCAGGACAAAATCTCGAGGTGTACTTCGGAAAAGAGAGAGCAGCCAGCACACGAAGTACCCACAGGAGCCCCCTGGCTTCCTCTCTGTTCTGCACCCTTTCTTGCCGCTGTGACTTTGGGTACTGCTCCTCCTGCCTGGGTGCGCCCCACCTCCATTCTCTACACAGCAGAACCCTTTTCATCCTAAGGCCTCTACTCTCCTGTCCACTCCCCAGAAAGGCTCTCCTGGTATCCTCATTGTCCTCTTTTCCTTCATGGGCTGTCCCCAGCCAACAGTCATCTTGCTAGATTTAAGTAATTTTTCTATTGCTTATTTTCTCCACTAGAGTGTAACCACATGAGGCCAGGACAGCACTGGGACTGCCTAGGGTTGGTCCTTGCTGCTCTGAAGAGGGCACGCATGTCCAAGAGCAAAGCTGAGAAGCGTGCGTCCAGGGTCCCCTCACAGCTCTCAGGACCCTGTGCTGTGTGTCGTGTGCTCTGGCTCAGAAGGCTTGATCCCATCTCCACACAGCACTCACTTTGGGCCTGGAAAATCCACTCTCCTGGTGTTATTCATGCACATAAATGAGTAACGCTGTCGGTGACAGGTATCAAAGGCAAACGGGTGATTCCAGGTGCCCAGAAGGGGGATAGCAAGCCAGCACATTGAGCCCACATACGCACCGCAACAGCCAGAGCAGGTGGCCTCTGCCTTCCTTGCCAATCTGATGGGGGTGATGGGTGTGGTTTACTCAACGCGTGCAAGGTGCTGTCTACTACCTCTGGGGGACAGAAAGAGCTTCCAAGAAGGATCTTTTCATGTCCTTCCTCAGAATCCCTGTAGGAAGGTGACAGTGCCAAGAAGGGAAAGCTGAGCCTTCATGCTTGAGAGCCAGGCCCGGGCCATACAGCCAGCTCAGCGGTCCAGAGCGCAGGATTTCCCTGCTTGGGGTCGCAGGCCAGGATGGCCCAGCTGCTCCAAGCAGCTCAGTGACAGGTGACGTTTCAGTTACCAGGGGCAAAACATTCCCCCTTGAGCTTGATCAGTTTCCTATGTTTGGAGTGATGGAGGGAATTGTTCTAAAGGGTGAAGGTGCAAGTCACTTTCACAATGGCACCTTTCACGAGGAAGGTTGACGTCACTATGCAATTGGCCCGGCCTGGAATGTCCATGCTGAGGGAGATTAAGAAAGGTTTGGACAGTTTTGGCGCGGACCCACGTTGCATTGTTCTTCCATTATTTCAGAAACAGCTGTGGTGCTCTGCTGGGCTACCCCAGTGGTCAAGAGCAGGGACCTGGAGAGGGCTGTCTGGGTTTAAACTTGAGATCTGCCACTCAATAGCTGTGTGGTCCCGACCACGTTATATAATCTTTCTGTCTCTACAAAATAGCCACCATAAGGACAGCTGTATTTTAGTGCTGTTAACAGGAATATATAAGTTAGTGCAGGTAAAATCTAAAGTACATGTTGGTGCTATGTCAGTGTTAGCTGTGTGCATCCCATAGAGTTAGTATAAAAGTTTAGAGAGAACACATGCTAATTACTCAAAATGTTTTAGTACACAGGGCATCATCCATAGCATTTGCTCAACAAAATATGTGTTGTTATTGCTGCTGACACACTTTGCCACCTGGTTAAGGTTTTCAGAAATCTGCATATAAATGTATTTGAAATTTTAACAGTGACCCTGGAACATGAAGGGTCAGTCAGCCCTCCTATTCCCCATCAGCCTTTCCTGTTCTAGGGAGGGAAGATTATCATGTGCTTTCTCAGTACTTAAAATTCTCAGGACAAGAATCTAGATCCAGCCAAGAAAGAAACAGCTTCTTAAATGGTTCAAGCCCTAGCAGACACCAGCTTGCCCAGCAGTTTCAAGCTGTAGATGTTCCCAAAGAATGATTAAAGCATTGACCTTTGCTCCCTTTGCTCAATCCTTGGAATTCCTACCCAGCCAGGGACCTGGTGGCTCCTCAGTACAAAAACTTATTGAAAATTCTGCTCATTTTCTTTGGAACTGGGCTGTGAGTTCAAATCATTTGATAAATGACTTCTGACACTAGAGGAATGGCCTGTTACAGGTGGCAAATACTTCAGGGATTTGCAGTTCAGCTTCCTATGCTGCACCCTCCTTCCCAGAGTAGTCTGGGGGTAGGGAGCTGATCCTCTTTTATTTTTATTCCCCCCCAGCACCTCCCTCAGGGCTGGATGTGGGAGGTTAAACAGAGGTGTGTGTAAAGCCTACAGCGTGGCAGTCTCTCTTGATACTTGCTAATGCTCCTCCCTCCCTCCATTTGTGGCCCCTTGCCTGTCTCATAGCTGTGAATATGGAAAAACTCAGCGGCGATCAGTGTCTTAGAGATCTGTGAATATTCCCTTGCACCAGGTGACCATGAGCACATTACTTGGCTTCCGAAGCAGCACAGAGAGATGAATTCTGGGATTGGATCCAGGTTGTGGTCTGGAGGAGGGGATGCTGGCAGCCCCCACACTCTGCTCAGCTCATCCACTCATTATGGGGCCAGGCTTGAAAGATGGATTTGTAGCCTGCGGCTCTCCTGGGACGTCAGGCTTCTCACTAAGGCCTGAAGATGGATACAGCCCCATAGAGGAGGTGGACCCCTTCCCGCTCCATTCTGACCCTTCTCAGAGCTTTTCCACCTTCCTGAGGCCTGGGAGTTTAACACACAGCTGGTTCAGGGTGGATCCAGAGGCCTGCTGAACAAGGGGGTGGGGAACGTTTCCAAGGCAATGTCTGTGTTGTTTCTACTGACCCATTGACCTGACCCTCCCTGTCTTGCGCTGCCCCAGAACCAAGCCAAGCCTTTGGAGGGTGGCTTCACCCTGGGTTAGCTAGCTGCAGCCCACTGTGGTGGGAGGTTCGGATCCCACGCTGGATGGGCCCTGGAGGAGGTCAAGGGGAGGGTGAGCCAAAGTAGGCTTCTTGGCCTCTGTTACCTCCAGGCCTCTCCCTCTTCTCCCTGTTGGCCAGGAATGGTCTGTTCTAGGAATTATCTTTGTAAAAATCTCTAATCCTATCCTGGTCTAGGATAGAAGCAAGTCCTAAATCGGCTACTTTAAAGTCCTTCATACACAGGCAGATCAAGAGAAAGACTCTGGTGACTAAGTAGGAGCTGTACATTCATCAGACAATGGCAGCCCCAAAGGCAGTGTTTTCCTGGAGTCCAGATCCTTTTCTTCCTGGCCAGGCCCACATCCTGCTGGATCTGCGCTGGCCAGCTCATGTTTCTCATTATCTTTTCCCCATCCTCTGAAGGTCTTCTCACTCCACCCAGGCTGTTATTTTTAACTTGCACCATAATTTTAGGGCTCAGCAGGACATACTGCCTACCTCCACAGGAAACTGGGCTGCCTGGAGAGGTGTTCCCGCTTTTTAGGACTTTCTTACTCTCTCTCTGCCTCACTTCTTTTCATGTTTGTTGAGCACCAATTCCACGAGATGTCCTGCACCAGAGATATAACATCAAAAGGATAGATACAGCCTGGCCCTTGGATAATTTATGTTCTGATGGGGCAGGAAAGTATGTGACAGGCCTGGCATCCACACACAAACCAAGTAAGTCAGTGAAGACACGGGGGCAAGATTTACCCTGCAGAGCTGGGTGTGGCAGAGCACATCTGTAATCCCAGCACTTGAGAAACTGAGGCAAGAGAATTGCTTTGAGTTTGAGTTTAAGGTCAACTTGGGCTACATATTGAGTTCACAACAGGCTTAAACTACGTAGTGAGACCCCCCCCCCCAAAATCTATGCCATAAGGAAAACAAGGCAATTATATGGGGTACACAGGGGCCTCTCTGAGGCAGCGACACAGAAGCAGAAATTCAAAGAATGAGGACCACATGCACACCAGGAGAAGGCTGATCTTAGGCAGAAGAACATGCAGCAAGGCCCCAGCATGGGGTGTCCTAGAATGTAACAGGAGGCCAGGACACAGAAAGCCTGGCAGATAAGAGGGGGTGGGTGATCCAGACAAGCTGGGGAGGCATGCAGCGGCCGTGTGTGCAGGCACGTGGAGACATCAGGGTTTGTCATGAGTGACGTGGAGTCACTGGGCAGGTTGGAGAGGTGGTGACATGGAGAGGTGAACATTTTAAGACCTTCCCTTGGCTCCTGAGAGGAGAACTGACACTAAGAGGGGCAGGAGGAAAGGCCATGACGTGGATTAGGAGGCTAGAGGTTATGCACAAGAAGTGACCACAGTTGAGGCTGTGGGAACAGAGCCACAACAGGACAGAGGCTGTTGCTGCTAAGAGTTCACTGGTTACGGAACACTTTCTTTACCAAGGGTGCATGGCACTGTGTCCTCCAGGCACCAGATGGACTAGAACTCCAAGGCCAAAGTTGCAGAGTAGCTCAGGAAAAGTTATGGACTTTAGATGGCTGTTGCCCATAAGGGGTCATGTGTAGGAGGTTTCTAAACCCAACTAAGTTAGCTTTGTTCAAAGTTACCATGATAAAACCATCATGGTACTGGCAAAACAAACAAACACCAGACCTGAGGATCAGTGGAACAGAATAGAAGATGCAGACAACTACAAACACACTCAGCCACCTTATCTTTGTCAAAGGAGCCAAACATATGTACTGGAAGAAACATAGCCTTTTTAATAAATGGTGCTGGAAAAACTAGCTTTCTACATGCCAAAAATTAAAACTGGACTCATGTCTATCACCATGCACTAAACTGAAGTCAAAATGGATCAAAGATCTAAATACCAAAACAGAAACACTAAATCTACTGAAAGAGACAATAGGTAGAACTCCTAAAGACAGGTGTAGGCAGAGAATTCAGGAACACAATCCAAATTGCACAGGAAATACTTACAAAAAATCAACTTGTTGATTTTTTCTCAACAAAAGAAATCACCAACAGAGTGAAAAGAAAACTCACATAGTGGAAAAAATTATAGCCATTTGTCCTTTAAACAAAGGATTTCTATCTAGAACACATAAAGAATTGAAAAAAATCAGGCCCCCAAAATTCAAAGACCCAGCCCAAAAATGGGCATCTCAGATGAATGCACACTTCCCAGATGAAGAAATACAAATGGCAAGTAAATAGATGAAAAGATGCTCAACATCATTGGTCATTAGAGAAATGCAAATTAAAACCACACTGAGATTCCAACTCACTCCAGAAGGAGTGACTATCATCAGAAAATCAATCAGTAACAAATGCTGGAGGGACTATTGGGGAAAAAGGAGCTCTTCTCCACTGTGGGTGGGAGTGTAGACTGGTACAAACACTGGAAATCAGCGTGGAGATTCCTCAAAAAACTAGGATTAGAGGTCCATTTGACCCAGCTATTCCCCCTGCTGGGTAGCTTCCCAGAAGAATTAAAAATACCATACCACAGTGAAATATGTGTACCCATGTTTACAGCAGCACAATTTGTAATAGTGAAATCTTGAAAATAACCCAAATGCCCATCAACCAAGAAATAGATAAAAAAAGATGTGATTTTTAAAATTATAATGAAGTAATACTCAGCTGTAAAGAAGGATACATTTGAGACTTTTGTAGGTAAATGAATGAACTGGAGACCATATTCATAAGTGAAATGAATCAGACCTGCATATGTAAACGTTGTATTGTCTCACTAGTGTGAGAAGCTTAAAAAGTGAATAAGATCCAAAATGTAAATAGATATTGTGGATAGGGAAGAAACTGTTCAAACAAAAGAGAAACTGTGATGGGGGTAAGGGGAAAGGCAGGAAGACAAAAGGAAATATATATATAGCTAGATACATACATATAAGATAGTTATGATAGTTATACGCTAGTTTCTCTTAGTTCATTGACAAGAAAGGAAAGGTTTGTTCTAATACTGTCTGGACAGTATTTCACGCCTGTATCTTGTACTCTGAGTAAATACTGTGAAGATAACAATACATAATGTATTAATTATTGTTACTTTCTTGTTAGCTAGCCCATTATGAAACTTTTATTTTTACTTTTTTTTTCTCTTAAAAAAATTTAACTTTGTCCAACATTAACCCCTTTGACTTTGGTGGGGCAGGTACTAGGGATTGAACTTGTGACCTTGTGCTTGCCAGGCAGGCACTTGTGCCGCTGAGCTAAACCCCTAGCTCCCCTGCACCCAACTTTTCTAAGAGGTGTGTAAATGCTTTTCTCTCTTGGTACCATGGTAGTTCTTTCTGTCTTTTCCATCTCTGGCTGGGATATGAGGCCAAATGGACCTAATTCACTCTTCTTGAGGAACTATTTTATCAACTAAGAATAAAAAATGATTTTAAAAAATGAGGACAAAATTCACAGCTTTGATAGAACGTACTTTGACTAAATGATCTGTTTTCCACAAGACCTGCGCAGTGGTCCCTCTTCCTTAGGCAAACACTCTCGTGTTATTACTCTTCAGAAGAAAGCCATAGATCTGAAACAGAACCACCACGTCCAGCTTCTGCAGAACACAATAATAGCTGTTATTTCTGGTGCTTTGGAGGAACTGTAACTATATTAACTCATTTATCCCTCCAAAAGTTCCCTCCAAAAGATCAGGGAGGAGGTGCCAATCCTTTTACATGATGGGACAGAGGCTTAGAGGGAGGTGACACTGTCACAGGGTGGAAGTGGCAAAGTCAGGGTCTGGAGCCTGGCTGCACTCGTAACTACACACCAGGGCTCTGGCATTACCTGGCTTGGCCACTACTATGTTTTTAAAAGCCGGAAAAGGCTAGCAGGAGGTCATCCTGAATGATATCAGAGCAAGGGTATGAGTAAACGTGCTGTCTTTTCTCACTTCTAGTTCTTTGTTATTGTTTTGAAGAAAGCAAGGGGAGGAGTACATAGTGAATATTCAAAATCTACTTGTTTAATGAAGTTGATATATGTCACTCAAAAATTAACTTTGGATACAGATCTCATTATAGAAAATATTAAATATAAATACTCTAAAGAAAATAAAAATTTACCCATCACACAGAGGTATTATAATATTGGTAACATTGATTGTTACCTTTCCAGTTTTTCCTGTGATTTTATGTTTGTCTCTCTTTACCCATTCAGCTAACTACCTTCTTATCAACCTATATATGTATATGTGTGTGTCTGTGAGTGTATAAACACATATAGCATCATAATGTATTTAGAGGCTTTTAACTTAATTTTTGCACTCAAGAATATATTATGAGCATGCACCATTTCATTTTTTCTAAAATAGAATTTTAATGATAACACATTCCTGTATTATTTGTTTATTAGTGGTATTACTAATACATATGTGCAATGCGTAATGAGTATATCATCACAAGGAGTAGGCACAATCCTCTGTAATTTACTTACTGAGTCCTTTACTAATTGGATATTCAATTTGTGGTTACAATTATTAATAAGACTGTATTGAACATCCTTGTAAAAAACACGCATAGCAATCATCTTAGTATGTTTAGTCTGCTATAACAAAATGTTACACTGGAAGCTTACACATGACAGATATTTATTTCTTATGACTTGGGAAGTTGTGAAATCAAGGTCTAAGAACCTTGGTGTTTGCTAAGGGCTGCTTCCTAGAAGGCCATCTGTCCCCTGGAACCCCACACAGTGAAAGGGGTGAGGGAGCACTCTGGGGTGTCTGCTATAAGCCAGTGATCCCATTCATGTGGGCTCCACCCTCCTGACCTAACCAAGGCCCCACCTCTTAATGGCATCATCTTAAGGATTAGAATTTCAACATAGGAATCTGGGGAACACACAAATGCAGAAAGTCTATTTTGAGGGATTTGCTAGGTAGTCCAACTGGCACATTTCTTGCCTTTGTCTTTCAGAATCAAGACAAGGCGCTACCATTTAACATACCTTCCATGTCCTCAGCTCTGGTCATTACTCATCGCCCAAGTATGTTTTTGGTGCAATTCTGCTACAGTGAGGATAGGTTAGGAAAAATCCCAGTTGTGACTAAAATGTGGGTGCCAAAGTTAGACAACTTGGTTTAAATTCCAGTCCTCCCCTGAACCAGCTGTGTGATTGAAGGCAAGCTCATTTTTCTGAGCCTCAACTTCCCCATACATAAATGGCTCATACCTTGGAGGACATAATGAAGTAAACTGGGCAAAGCTCTTCTAAGCATTCTGCCTAGCAGGGAGCAAATGTGCAAAAAAGGTTTTATTATGAAGATGGAGGGGACTTGTCACCAGTTCTGTGCTTTGGTGACCCCTCCATCCTACTGTGCAAAATCCAAGGAAACTGGATTTTAAAATCACTCAAAATACATTATCCTTGTTTCTTTCGGGGAAGGGCATGTCAAAGTCTAAGTGTTAAAGACAGTTAACTCTTTTTTCTCTTGCTTACCAGGAGCCAGGCTGGTTAGATTACAGACAGATTTAAAATTCTGTTGTTCACAGCTGCATCGGGAATGTAGTCTTCCCTTCCATGGAGCCAGCTGTGTTTTATAACTGCCTCTCCTAAAATAAAACAAAGGAGGCAAAAGAGGAAAAAGAAGCAGTACTGTCTAGATCAATCCCAAATTGCCGTTTTATAGAACAATACAGAAAATATCTAGCCTCTAACACAGACCACGGAAGGAGCTGACCAGGCTCGTTTATGGTACCATGTTTGATCCTGCAGACTCACTACTGACACACACTAGGTCCTCCCTGGACCATATTGGGTTCATATCTGGATTACCCATCTTTCTTACAGCAATAATAAGCTGTTTCCAACAAGTTACTGAGTAAAGAAACAGTCTCTTAATTTAATCTAAATACTGTCAGGGCCTGCTGGGAGGATTAGAAATGATAGATAATGAACAGATGCTTTTTGAGTTTGTAAGTTGAGTGTTGAGAAAGTTTTTCCTCCCAATTCCTGGCCCTTGGAATGACGATGTTTATGATCATGGTGGGATTTTGTTGGAATTCCTGTAAACCACTGTACTAGACAGCACATACGGTAAAGCACTTCTGATGGCCACGCCAAGTTTTCCCACTTCTGTCTAGCCATGGGAAATGTTCAGCAGTCGTAGTATGTATGCATAAGGGTGTGTGCAGAGATCTCAGCTAACACACTTGACCGTAGGACAGGCTAATTCTAGGCATATGCATTGCTGGTATTTGTTGAGTGCCTTCTGCAAGATAACACGCTGTAAGGAAGTCAACGATAAAATATGTTTTCTGCTTTCATGAGCTCATGCAGGGGAGAGATAAGGCAAAATCTTGACTGGAGAAGGAATAAAATTATTGCTTGGTAACACACTGTGGTCCTTGAAGGAAAGAAGGAGCCTTTTTATGAGGGAGTCTGGGAAAGCTTTGTGATGGAGGTGACATTCAGCCTTGAGGACAGAAGGGTGGTGGAGCATAGAGAAGGCCCTCCAGCCTGAGGGAACAGTGTGACCTAACTGGGAAAGGCATGGAAGTTCTTTGTGTGCAGCCGGGACGGGGGAGCTGCTGAGATTGCTGAGAGGTGGGAGGTCAAGGTGAATGGTGAGGGCTTGCAGACCAGATTTGGAGTCGCTTAAACGCTTGGCCAAGCACTTTGGCCTTTGAGATCTCAGAAGAGGGAAGCTGCTGAAGACAGACTTTCCTTCAGGAGGACACTAGTGGCCATGTGCAGAAGGGTTGGAAAGCAGGAGACCCATCCTGAGGCTCCAGTGTCTGCTTCCCATTCTGTCTGGCCTCTTGGGGGCTTTCGGCAGTGTGGCCCAGCTCCGATACACCATCAGATGCGGGGACCCAGCGCCCTTTGCCTCTCCTCCTGACTTGGCCTTTGCTTGCCTGGCTCCTGCAGCTTCTCCTCTGAGATACGCGGGTGTGCTGGAGTGCTCTAGGCACATAGGTGACTCCACCGTAGCTGCTCTGTCCCCCTTTCTCCAGGTCATTTCCCCTGAAGAGCCTTGTTGCCCTCTGCTCTGACTCTACCGCATCTTTATCCCATTCTGCTGCTCTGCAGAGCCCCACTTTCGCTGCTGGCCAGGGGCTCAGCAGTGATGCACCCCACAAAGAGCCCCCTGCCATTTGCTCTGCCAAATAGGCTTCTCCATTCTTTCAGCAAATAGCCCTGCACTGGCGCCTCATACCCTACAGCCTGAATTCTGTCTGATTCTTCCTTCCTCCCCTTCACAGGACTCAGAACCACCCTTTCTTTTCTCCTTTATGCTTCAAGGTCAAGATCTTTCAATAAGCTACCATCCCCAGGGACTGTACTGGAAGGAAGTACAGGGGCCCTGGCCTCGACTAGCTTGCAGTCTAGGGAAGAAGATAAACATCAAGCCAGGAGTGGAAGACTGGTTAACTTTTCAGAGATGGGAATACACAGTACTGTCCTCCACAGCCTCTGCTCTGCCTCAACCCACTCTCATCAGTACCCCAAGATTTCCTGTTTGCAGGAGCACTTCCCAAGTTCCCTTCTCAGAAAATCTCTACTGGCTCCACTTTGATCTGCTTGCAGATGAAAGCCTGGATGCTTTGAGTGGTATCCCTTGAGGTCCTCCCATGATGCAACTCCAAACCAGTCTGCACTGATGAAGTGCATCTCTGGAAAGCCCCCTTCTCACTGGCCTTCCCCTCTCACCCCGAGAGGATGCCCTCCACCTCCCCTACCCAGGATTTTGCTCAAGCAGGTGCTTTATTCTGTCCCAGACCTGTAAAGCATCTCTGTCTCTCCTTTCATGAAATTCTCCTGCTTCCTTCTTTTGTACCAGCTCTTGATTTCCCCAGGTCTTGGCATCTGCCTCACAGCACTTAGCAGGGCCTGGCTCAATGCTTACGATTTAGCTTCTCAGTCTCAATCGAGTTGATCTTATTCATCCTGAGTAATCAGAATGACAAAAATGATAGCCAAAATTATGAGATTCTATAATGCATATTTTATTTATAAGCCAGGCATTGTGCTGAGAGCTTCACTTGCATTCTCTTAAGGCATCTGGGTAACAAACACTCAGGCTGGATTCTAGCACGGGCCTCCTTTTACAAGTGAAGCAGCTGAGGCTGAGAGGTAAAATGACTGTCTGGATTTAAATGCAGGGAGCCTCACAGTAAAGCCCATGTCTGTAACCGTAACTCCACCTTCATTCCCGCAGCGTGTCTGTCCAGGTTCCTTATTTGCAATATCCTTAATGGGGGTGGATCATGAAGGAAGAAAAAAGACAGAAAGCCAAGGGCAGTGTCTTCAAGGTCATGCTGTAAGGTCCAGTCACTGAGACATAACAAATGTGGGCTGTCAGTGGCTACACCTTCTCTTACACTTATTAACTAGGAAATGGAAGCAGCAGTTTCCAAAGAAATATTTTAAATATTTTGGCAGACTTGGTGGCAAAGGGTTAGATAGCAGTTTGTTAAATGCATATTGATCAAGTCTGATTGGATATGGGTGGTCCCATGCCCTATCACCTAGCCCTGATCGACCCAGGCTCCCAAGGCAAAGAATTTCTGTCAAATAGCTGCTATTACTTCTCTGAGCTGAGAAGGGACATTTAACATGGTCACCCTCTTTTTCATTGGACTATACCTGTCTGCTTCCTTAGGGGAAAAGAGTGGTGTGGCCCCAGGCTCCCCCACGGGCCGGCTGCTCAGTAGCAGACAAGCCTGCCTTTGTGGGGATAGGCAGGCGGTGGCCTCTTGGTCTGGACAGGTCCTCTGTGGCCTCCCTAGTAAGCAGGAGGAGGGCCAGGAGGGCCAGGAGGGCCAGCAGGGATGGGAAAGTTGGGAAAGGCAAAGGGCTGGTTGCCCAGACTGCCACACACAGCCAGCCACCATCCCAGGCACTTCCTCCATTCCTGTCTGGGACATGGACAGTAGAGGGTGTGAATGAGGTGACAGTGAGCCCCAGAGAGCCTGGGGGACAGAGCCCAAAGCCTGCAGCACTGTAAGCTGACACTGATAGGATGACCCGCTGCTTCTCTTTCCCCCTTCCTTTCTCTACCAGCTTGTTAGAGACTGAGAAGTTGGTGGCTATGGCTTGATGTCACCACTGAAAATCCCAAATGTGAGTTACAGTGCTAGTTGTCTCACCCATAGTGCAGATGTATTGATATACCACCGTGTCCTCCACATCCTGGCTGAGATGTCATGTTTTGGGGGACGTGTCAGACTTGCAGATGGACAGACTGCTGAGGAATAGCAGGAATCTTGTCTAATACACTGTACTTTTTAGACTGTCATTCAACAATGCCACACTGCCGCTGAATCTCATGAAATCTTACATCACATCCAAGTTGGTGCATATTCTATGTATGATATGATTTTACATGGACAGAAACAGGTTTTGAGAAACGGGGACTAGACATGTTCCTTAGACCACTGCACTCACATTCCTATTCCACAGTCCCCTGGAGGCATGTGTCAAGCCCCAGGTTCTGTTACAGATCCAACTCCACAGTAACAGGACCTCAAGGCTGAGCATGGAGCTAAGCTTCACTCAGCCAAGTCCAAGACTTTATCAGATGCCATGCTAGGGAGGTTTGTGGATTTCCTGACCCTGGGCTTGTGGTAGTGAAACAGGCCACTTAGAAAAGACAGACTTCAGGAGGAGCCTCACCTTGAAGAGAGGGCTTGCAGAGAGCCAAGCTGGGAGAAGCCACCAGCTCCTTCTTCAGCACTCATGAGACAATGAGACAGACCAAAGATCAGGAAAATAGGCAGAGCCTGTCTGCACTCATGAGACAATGAGACAGACCAAAGATCAGGAAAATAGGCAGAGCCTGTCTGCTCCCAGCCTTCCCGGCCTCCCTGCAGGGAGAGCTCTTTCCCACTGTGGAGGAGAAAACCTGACCATGCTCTCCGGGGCCTCAGGACTTTGGATGGGGCAGGACTGCAGATCTCTGACGACACCGGGAGGTTCCAACGTCACAAACATAAAGCTTCACCAATAGTGACAAACAAGGCCTACTAGGTAGAGGTGAGAGTTTTTAGGAGAAAATGCCATTTCTTACATCACTGAGTATCCTGACAGTTCTGGCAAGGAGAGAGGCAGCCAGCTGGACAAGTGAGCAAGGGTGTAGGAGGGAACAGGGAGATGGAGACACAAAGGGGAGCCTGCGGGTGGCCGGGCTCAGGGAGGTCACTCACTGCCAGAGAAAGCCCAGCCAGGGTTTGTGGTGGCTTTTCCCAATGAGGGGAGAGCGGCTTTCTCTCCCAGGTAAACAGTTCTCAAGTAAGGAGCCCCGCAGTGGCCAAAGTCCCCAGGAGAGTGTGTTGCAGGTGTGGGAAGCCGGGCTGAGAATGGAGGACGGTAGACAGAAGGGCAGGTGGCTGGGTGGGGACAGGAGAGCAAGGTGAGATGGGTGCCCGTGTCCTTGATGCTGAGGCTGAGCTCGCGGTGTGATCTGGTTTCTGAAATCTCTTCCCACCAGGACCCAAGATGAGTGCTTTGTGGTGGAGCTTCCAGGGTCTCTTGGGGATAATACTAAAAGAATTCTTTGTATAATACGTGATAGCTGGGTCTGGTGGTCTACAGCTGTCTTCCAAGCTGAAGCAAAGGAGGCTGAAGCAAAAGGACCACTTTGAATTCAAGGCTACCCTGGGCTACAACAGTGAGTTCAAGGCCAGTCAGAAATATATAGCAAGACCCTGACTCAAATATCTTCCCAGAAAGATAATAAGGTGATATTATTTAATAATTTATATCACAATTAATTTATGTAGTGCAGCACTTTCATACTGTTATCACATCTTATCCTCACAACAACCCTCTGAGTAACACTGCTAGCCCTACTAGAGAAGGGCAGACTGAGTTTCAGGGAGGGGACGCTGGCTTGTCCAGTTCTCACAGACAGCACTAGTGGAGCTGAGCTTTGCCCTCAGTCAGGCTGACCGGCTACTGGGAACAGAGTTAACCAACCTGGAGAAATGAGGAAAATCCCAGATATCAAGGGTACCGCGACTCAAACGCAGGTAGAACCAAACACCCCACAAACACTTCCTGGATTCTCCCTCTGTATTTTATCAAAACCAAGTGCCGTGAATTACAAGACACACCATCATTTTGTGTACCACTAAGAAAAAGTGCTACATAGCTCAGTTTTCAAAATGTGGAAGCTCTAACAATATATGCACCTGAGGCCTGATTTTAGGTGCCTCTGTGTTGTCATTTCATGCCAACAACACTGCTGCTTGTGCAAAAAGGGACACGGGGCTTAGAGCAGTGGTCTACTGTCTCTGACATACAGCTAGTAAGCTGCCGAGCCTGGATCTAGCCTTGCAACTTCCTGGCCCAAACTCCCCGACCTTCACCAGCTGGCCACATGGCCTCAAAAGGACAAGGGACATATTTGTCATCTGCTCCTGCTGGTGGTGTTGGCCAACAGAAACATAGTGGGGGCACCAGGCTTCAGGGAGAAGGGAACACTCGCCTTGTTCCCCTTCCTGGGATCATCTGTGGCTGGGCTCACTTGGCATCTCAGACTGTCCCAGGCTCTGGGGATGTATCTTTCGGATGTGAAGTCAGATGAAGCCTTCCGGACATGCTTGAGCTTTAGCCACTCACTTCCTGACCCTCATTTCCCGACATGCTCAATCTATCTCTTGCTGTCACCCCTCTCCCTTT